TTTTTTTTTTTTTTTTTTTTTTTTAATTAGGACAGGATCTCACTCTGTTGCTCAGGCTGAAGTGCAGTAGTATAATCATAGCTCACTGACTCAAACTCCTGGACTTAAGTGATTCTCCTGCCTCAGCCTCCCAAGTAGTGGAGACTACAGAAATGTACCATCACACCCAGCTAATTTTTTTAAAATTTTTATTTTTGTAGCACTAGGGTCTCACTATGTTGCCCAGGCTGGTGTCAAACTCCTGGACTCAAGTGATCCCTCTGCCTGGCCTCCCAAAGTGCTGGGATTACAGGCATGACCCACCACACTTGGCCTGCTTCTTAAAACACAGATTGGTAAGCCCACTTCTCTAGTTTCTAATTCAGTAGGTCTGGGGTAGGGTCTGATAATTCCATCTTTAGCAAGTTCCCAGGTGGTTCTAATGCTACTAGTCAGGTGACACTTTGAGAATCTGTTTTCTAGGAGATGTGTTCAAAAGTGGAATTGCTAGGTTGTAGCTGAAGTCAGCTTCAACTTTACTAGACAATGCCAAACTCTTTTCTAAAGTGATTATATCAATATACACTCCCAACAGCAGTATATACAATTTCCTTTTGTGCCATGTCTTCAATAATATTTTGTATTTTAAAAATTATTTTTCTCAATATGGTGGATCTAAAATTATATTCTCATTGTGTTTTAATTTATAATTTCTTCTTTTTAAAGAGGCAGGGTTTTTTTTTCAATTTTTTTTTTTTTTTATTAAGAGACTTTATTTTTAGAGCAATTTTAGGCTCACAAGAAAATTGGGTGGGAAGTACAGAGTTAACCCCTTCACCACAGCACATTCACAGCCTCCCTCAGCATCAACATCTGCGTTGTGTGATATTTGTTATAATCAATGAGCCAACATTGATACATCATTATCAACCATAGTCCATAGTTAACATTAGGGTTCACTCTTGGTGTTGTACATTCTATAGGTTTTGACAAATGTACAGTGACATGTATCTACCATTATAGTATCACACAGAATGGTTTCACTCCCCTAAACATCCTGTGTGCTCTGTCTGTTCATCCCTCCCTCCCCCTGGAACCTTGCCAACCACTGATCTTTTTACTACCTTCACAGTTTTGCCCTTTAAAGAATGTAATTGTGTACATCAAGGTTCTCCAGAGAAACAGAAGCAATAGGATGTAGACAGAGAGAGAGAAAGAGAGAGCGAGAGATTTATTTTAAGAAATTGGCTCACATGATTGTGGAGGCTGGCAAGCCCACAATCTGCAGGGTAGGATGGCAAGCTGGAGACTCGGGAAAGAGTTACAGTTTAAGTCTGAAGGAAATCTGCTGGCAGAATTTCCTTTTCCACAGGGGAGACCAGTCTTTTGTCTATTAAGGCTTTCAACTGATTGGCTAAGGTTCACCCTTATCATGGAGGATGATCTGCTTTACTCAAAGTCGACTGGCTTACACTATACCTAAAAAATACCTTCAGAGGCCAGGCGCGGTGGTTCACGTCTGTAGTCCCAGCACTTTGTGAGGCCAAGGCGGGCAGATCACTTGAGGTCAGGAGATCAAGACCAGCCTGGCCAACAGGGTGAAACCCCGTTTCTACTAAAAATACAAAAATTATCTAGCTGTGCTGGTGGGCGCCTGTAATCCCAGCTAGTTGGGAGGCTGAGGCAGGAGAATCACTTGAACTCGGGAGGCAGAGGTTACAGTGAGCAGAGATCACGCCACTGCACTCCAGCCTGGGCGACAGAGGGAGACTCTGTCTCAAAAACAAAAAAAACAAAACAAAAATCTTCAGATAAACATCTAGAATAATGTTTGACCAAATATATAGAAACTGTGGCCTAGCCCAGTTGACACGTAGAATTAGCCATCGTAGTCATATAGTTGAAATCATGCAGTATGGAGCCATTTCAGATTGGCTTTCTTCCATGAAAAACATGCCTGTAAGTTTTCTCCATGTCTTTTTATAGCTTGATTGCTTACTTCTTTTTACTCCTGCATAATATTCTATTGTATGGATGTATCACAGTTTACTTATTTATCCACATTGAGCTTCTTTTCATAGGTTCATTGGCCATTGGTATTTTCTTTTCAGTGAAATGCCCTTTCATTACTTTTGTCTATTTTTCTTTTTTTTTTCTTTTTGGAAATTATTTTATTTCTTCCATGATGATTTAGAGGGACTATCTTCAAACTAGTACAGATATTTCATAAATAATATCTAGCTGTTTTCTAACCAATTGAGTAATTTGTTGCACAATAAGCCATGTCACGTCTAAGCAAGAAATACATTAAGTTTGACTAGTAAAGACATTACATGAATTAGGATACAATTAAAATTTGCTTTAGATATTTATTTGAGGGAGAGGACACCACACTTCTACTCAATGAAGAGAAACATTTTTACAGTCCAGAGGTCTTTTATTATCATTTTTTTTAACACCAATTATGCCATGACTTCATAGGGAATAGGTTCCCCCGGCAGCTCAGCCTCCTTCCCATTGGTTCTCACAAAGGGTGCTTCTCTGAGTGGAGCAGGCTGGTGCTTCAGTTGAACCCAGGTACCTTTCTCTCTGGCTTCTTTTTCTGATCATTTTCCTTCACATGTTTCAGGAAGCTGTCTCCACTATTAGAGTGCTTATGTGCTCAATACACACATTAATTCTCTTGGCAAGAATCTTGCCCTTCTTTGTTTACAACAATGCCAATAGCATTACAGATTCTTCCAGTTTTGCCGTGGTAACACTTGTGGGCATTCCTTTTTGAACAGCACCCATTCCCTTGATGTCTACAATATCACCTTTCTTATAGATTCGCATATACATGGCCAAAGGAACAACTCCATGTTTTCTAAAAGGCCTAGAGAACAAACATCGGGTACCTTTCCTCTTTTCCTTTGTGTTCCTCATTTTGGCGAACTATGGAAGATGGCTGCTCTAGCCAAAAGGATACTTTTCTCTATTTTTCTATTGTTTTGTATTTATTTATTTATTTATTTATTTATTTATTTATTTTTGAGACGGAATCTTGCTCTGTCGCCCAGGCTGGAGTGCAGTGGCGTGATCTTGGCTCACTGCAAGCTCCGCCTCCCGGTTCACGCCATTCTCCTGCCTCAGCCTCCCGTGTATCTGGGAGTACTGGCGCCCGCCACCTTGCCTTGCTAAATTTTTTTGCATTTTTAGTAGAGACAGGGTTTCACCGTGTTAGCCAGGATGGTCTCGATCTCCTGACCTCGTGATCTGCCCGCCTTGGCCTCCCAAAGTGCTGGGATTACAGGTGTAAGTCACCATGCCTGGCCTGTCTTTATTTTTTTTTTTTTGAAGCAGTTCTTATATATTACGGATACCAGCCCTTTGTCAGTTATATGTGTTAAAACTGTCTTTCCCTAATGACTTGACTTTTCATTTTCTTTATGATGTATTTTGATGAAAAGAAGTTTTAAATTGTGCCAGTCCTTTCCTTTATGGTATGTCCTTTTAAAAAATCTTTAATAAATAGTGGTCCTCCTTTACTTTCCTTACTTTAGAACATATGTCAACTTGCATTAAAATTTTAGACCATTGCATTTTCTGAAGAATTAGTGAGGATATCTTTTTGAATAATATTCCTGTATATAAAAGTATTTTTAATTAAAATAGTTAATAAATCAGATTTTTAAATCCAAAAAGAAATATACACCTATGTTCCTGCTTGCTACCAAGAAGGAACAAAACAGATATAGACTAGAATAATCCTTTATGCGGTGTTTAGGGACACACACATACACACACTCATGACCCAGTAAAATGAATCTAATTCCATTGCCACTTCCTTTAGTATTGCTATGCTTTACTGTTGGGTATAAATTTCTTTCATGAGCAGGTATGTGTAGCTATTAAACATCTAAACATTTTTTCAATTAATATGTTTCTTTTTATTTTGAAAGGTGGGAAAATTGACTTCTTATTCATACACGTAGAGCAGGATTGTCTTATGGATTAGCCATCATTTTATATTATTTTTCTATAACTTATTTTCTATAATTTCCTATGAATATTTTATATTTCATGTTAGTTCATAGTTTGTATGATTTTATAGGATTTCTATGCTTTGTCCGATGCCTGTGTTAACATATATCCCTCACTAACAAAGGCTAAAGGAACTCTGAAGAACTGACATAATCACTTGCATATATGTGATGACATCTTGGAGGCTATGTAAACATTCACATCCCAGCCACCCCTTCTGAAAGTGAAAGGCTTCAAATCCTAAACAGGATTTGCAAAGAAAGGGAGACCCTGTTTGTGCCATTATTTCAACTTAGGGGTAGGGAAACTATAACGAAAAACACCTTAGAATTTTGTTAGCTTAGATGCTATGGAACTTCTGCTATTAGCAGAAATCAAATTCATTCTTCCGGATTCAACATAGGCTCAGTTATATTTTCGGAGTTGTTGGCCAGAGTTCCTAAACAGATATTCTTGTTATTTGGCTACCTGTCTGAATCTTGTACCTCTCACTTTGCGTTGTTCTCTGACACTTGCTTTTTTGAACTATTTATTCTTTGTGTGTGAAGGAAATTATTGACTTAAAGGGAAATCTATTATATAATATCACATAATATCAAGTTAAATAATTAACATATAAAATGTATTTGTTTGAGAAGTTTGTAAATGTAAAATATGTGGTCATGTGTGTTTAGAAATACTTGGAATATTAATGTAGACATTAGAGTTAGAAGAAGTATACTGTATTAAATAAATTTAGGAGAACATAAAACAGTCAGTAAGATATATAAACTTATAAGTGAACTAATGAGAAGATTTGGGAGTGTTTGCATCCTTGCAATTATAGCAGTGAAACAGGCCAAGAACAATGTGGAGTGCAACCAAGTGGATCACAGGCTTTGGATAAGGCAAAACCATCCCGCTACTACTTTTTGATGCCTTTGGTTTAAGACCCCAACTCCCCTCTTCTTGTGACAGTTTAGTGAACAAAAACCACAAGCAAATTGATAAGTAGTCATAATAAATAATATTTATAAGTAATAAATAATATTAAATAATTAGCTCCATGAGCCCTTCCTGGAGGAAGAATTATGGTAACATTTGAAGAACATTTTAATAGAATACAGAATGCAAAATAATGCAGAAGGACTTAAGTGATGTCAGGAATAGACTAATAAGCTAAAAAATGTTGTAAGGATGACAGTTGTCCTTTCTCCTGCTAGCGTAGTGTTGTAAATAAGTATTGCCTCCCCTGCCCTTTCTTAGGTTCTGGCAGCATGAATGAAAGGAAATCCTTGAGGAACAAAGTAGAGGAGTCAGCTAGTTATTTTATCACTAGGAAATACAAGGAAACTTCCACTTAAAATTGTTCTCTAAACTCAACTAGCATTTTTCAATCATCATTGCTTGTAGGTTTCAAAAAGTTACAGAAGCTGTTGAAGATCCTTTGAAATAGTGGTTGCTTCCTTAAGCAACAAGATTCAACAAGTAATGTCAGTGGCAGCTGTACACTGAAAAGACCTGGTCTTTGGAGTTTGTCAGAACTAGGTGGTAGTACAACCTGTAGGCCCAGCTACTCGAGAGGCCGAGGTGGGAGGATCACTTGAGCCCAGCAGTTCAAGATCAGCCTGGGCAGGATAGACCCCTGTCTCTAAAAAAGTATATATTATATATATATATATGTGTGTGTGTGTGTGTGTGTGTGTGTATACACACACGCACTAAATAAAAATATTAAAAAGAAGAAAAGCTGGGTTCAGATCGGGCTCTGTCATTTGCTGGTGGCATTACCTTGAGTAAGTTATTTAACTTCTCAGAGCTTCAGTTTCTCTGTGTAAAGTAACCTATTGTACAAGATTGAGATCGCCATCACTGTTAAATGTTTGATGGAGATTCAGTACACAAGCTGGAGCTGAGAGTGAAAGTTCATTGCTCATGATATACACTATCCTTTCAACTACATCCAAGATGTACTTAATCAAGAATGCCATCAGCGGACAGCCTGCAAAATTAAATGCACTCCATTATCCCAGTTTCTGCTTGGAGAAAATTAACATGGGAAAGAGAATAAATTCTGTGATTTATTTATTTATTTATTTATTTAGAGATGGAGTTCTAGTCTTGTTACCCAGGCTGGAGTGCAGTGGCGTGATCTCTACTCACTGCAACCTCCACCTCCTGGGTTCAAGTGATTGTCCTGCCTCAGCCTCCCGAGTAGCCAGGATTACAACCGCCTGCCACCAGGCCCGGCTAATTTT